TTACCAGGAGCCATTACGCTATGATGTTGCTTCGACCTCCTGGCTAGTAGTGCCATTTCATCTCTATTTGCTCATTTTTCCTCTTTCAGTCTTATCGTAATGATTCCTAATTAAACGCTTAGGTTTCCTCCTAAGCTAAAACAACAGTCAAACCGTAACAACATCGAAGCCCTCAGTGTGGCTCGCAACTAAAATGAAAGCATACTACATGTTTTGTATGAGTCTTCTCGATCTTAATACTTTGTGAACCCTCCATTTGCCTTTATTACTGCTGCACATCTTTCGTGCATGCTGCCAACTAGTGACAATAGCTCCTCTGAAGATATAGAGTCCCATGCATCCTGAAGCAATGTCTTCAACGTGGCAGAGCGCACAAGCCTGACCCCATTTTTCTCTGGACTATTTACCTGAATGTGGATTTTTAAGATGTTCCACAATGACTCGATCGGGTTCAGGTCCGGAGAGTAAGGTGGCCATCTAAAGGCGTTATTCCAACTTCACGCAGCGCCTCAATTGTTGAGTACGCTTTATGACATGGTGAGATGTTGTGCATGTATAGAATTTCTAGATTTTCCGAGTGAAATTGATTCAAAAGAGGCAAGATCCTTTCACAAAAGGATGAGGACCTCATTGATCCCCAATCTTTCTCCCAGACTAGGAATGGGCCTCTTTGTGATCCGTAAAATGATACCCAAAGCATCCAGCTATTCCCATGAGCATGGCGAGCCACTTTACAAGTCTCATCAAACTCATCATGAGGCTAAACTCTGCTGTTATTGCAAGGAAGATTTTGATAGAATTTAAACGTGCTTTTATTGTGACACGAGGTTTCATATAACAATCACCCGATACCCATGTTTCATCAGTCAATAATATGCGACTCCATTGTTCATCGCTCCAATCTAAATGTAATTGGGCGAGCTCCAATCTTTTCTGCTTGTTCACCGCGCTTAACGGAGGCTTCTTCCGAGCAATGAATCAGCTGTAACCTCTTTTTTTCAGTGCGTTAGAAATTAAACGTTTACTGCATCCCCAGTGGCTGAAGGGCCCATGGCTAGTTCCAAATAGCACATCTGTCGATTTTCAGGAAACTTCCGGACGAAAGCCCCAAGCTCATCAACTTATTCCGCGCTTAATTTTGGTAAGGGTCCTTTGCGAGACATAGGATTCTCAGTCTCTCGAGCACACGCAAGTTGTACTTGTCTTATTGTGAAGCCAAGTTTGTCGGATATATTTTGAAGTGCCAAGCCAAGTCTTCTTAATGCTCTTATTTCAATACATTGATCGCGAGTTAGATGCTTGCGAACTTTAGTTTCTATAGCAGACTTTTCGAGAGACATTGTTTGCTAGAATAGAGGATGAATTGATGGTGGTGAGAGGTTTCGGTGACTGTGTAGGCTTGGCAGCCAAAAATGTCGTTGAAAATGTGTTTTACTAAGCGATTATTAGAAGAAGACGATTGGACCATACTTCATGGCGAGCGGGGTAAGGAGAAGAGACATACTAACCTATTACGAGCTAGCCCAGCTGCACCTACAGGGCTAATCCCTTAAACAACCCAGTTTGAAGTTTTACCTTTTCCAACCCAGAGGCACTGTAACACCTAGAAATTACAAAAGAGTCTAACCAGCTGTCCGCCACTCTGCTTTACAATTTGAGTGTGGCCAGTTTCCCTCTACCGGGAACTTCAATTTTTTTGTACAAGTAGTTTTAAATTACACCTGCAAAACAAGAAAATAGGGGTACATATTTCCATCTAACATTAACCCCACACCCGATCGTAAAATTTCACTTGGAAATATCTAATGGGCTCTCTGGATTTTGTCGAAGAACTTCGTCAGCTCGACCCATTTTCCGAAGGCGAGGGAAGTACCCATTTGATGCCGGGGCAAGGATGACGAGGTCCACCGCGAAGACGGGCACGGTTTCTTCCTATACTGCATAAGAAGAAGTGATCAGGGCTATTTTCTTCGCCACAGGAGCAAGTCATTAGGGCATCTTCGTGTGTGAAACGTCGATAATATGGGGCGAAATCTCCGTGTCCGGAGCAAGCTGCGATGAGCGCCCCAAACGTCCGCCGATTTAACACAAGCGAGTTTGTAAATCTACTCACGATTTGGGAGTAGTATTTGATCACATGTAAAGGGCCAGGGGATCTAGAACAGGCATTGTAGTTAAAAAGAGCCGTAGCTCCAACCTTCTAAACTCCTCATAGGAAATATAAACATTTAATTATGACTTTGCTTTCGTGCCATAGCCGAAAGTCCTAGCCCGTCTCATGAGCAGACTCTACAGTGAGAGCTGGAGGTTCGTAGGGGATACCACCGACAGGTGTTAAGAATAGTCTCCTGGTTCAGAGTAAACTGAATGATAAAAGTGAGATTGCATATGTGCATGTCTTATGAACTGTGGTTTTTGACCAGGATGCAATCAATAGATATATAAGCCAGAAATAAAAGCTGTATACATATGTGTTGATAATAGATCCGAGAAAACTATAACAATTAAGTAATTCTTGGCATTCCAAGATATATCATATTTTGTAAAGGTAATGAGTTAGATGGGAAAATAATTACTTGGCAATTGTCACCAATTCTGTTCTGAGATGGTAAGGAATTGGTAAGATGATTGTTGGCAGGCGTCCAATACTTTTCCAATACTGTTCATGAGATAAAACATAGACTACTTATATACTCTGATATGACCCATGTCATTGTTTACGTTCTCTCCTGACTTACTGGCAACAGCGTGCCTATGTAGAACTCTGCAGCTCATGAGAGGCATCCGCTATTCCGGTGGCTGGCGCGCGCGGTCCGAGTACGCGTCGCTGCAACGCCTCAATCACTTACGTGTAATATCCCAGCTGAGCAATCCTGAACCTAGCTGTTCAGGAGCGACAGCAATCCAGTCCATGGTTCGCGCCTGTGGTTTGTATACACACCACAGCGCCGCTCCAATCGTTCCCATACAATGTCTCAGTTCCGCAGTCCTTAGTCCGAGACTCAGGAGCGTCAGCAGTTGTATCCATGGTCAGCGCACGACGTGCACATGCACTTGCCCGCGCCGAGCCGGTCATTGACTAGCAATATCAAAGCACATATCAACATGACAAACGTCATATACTGATAGTCTATTAGTTCACCTAAAGTTATAAGAATACTCGTGTAAGTAGTTCAAAATTTTATTCAGAAGAAATGGGCATTCATGGCTGTTCGTGTTCCGCTGCTTTTTTTTTTTTTTTTTTACATTTGGTCCTAAGCTAACGCTATCTTTTCCACATTGGGTCAAGGACCGGTGGAGCCGGCAAGGATCACTGCGTACAGGCCCAACTCATTCCAACCGCATGAGCTTCTACTGAAATTGTAGAAGTTAATAGCAAAACTAAAATCAAAAACATAAATCAAAAACTGAAATCAAATTTGGAAGAAATACTGTTTGGTCTGGATCCCGCGCTTCTCGCCCGTTCCGTTTCCTGCCACATCTTCCACGTGACTATTTCTTATCTCCGCTGAGAGCGAAAGACTAGTTCGCAGATACCCTGAATTCAGCTGGTATCCTGCTATATATATTGAAGCTTTTGTAGACTTCACCGAGGGTTTCTGTACCCTCAGACTTCTTATTCGGATTCCAGGATTCCGAAACCCGATCCCTCGGCCATCGAGATATCCTTCGTTGAGGCCATCGTTGCCTCTTCGGCCCTTTTGGCTGCAGCCCTAGATCGAGCCACTTTCGCGAACTCCCCTTGCTAGATCTGGTGGATCCGCGCGAGCTGCCCTTTTGTCACCGGTCCAGACTTGCTGGGTCTGGCTAAGCAGGCCCGGGAATCCGATCGGTGAGGTCCCCCACAGTTTCGACACCGGGTGAGGGCCTTGCACTCTGATTCTGAGTGCATATTAGATCCGCAATTCCAGCAAGCTGGAGCGCGGGTTCCGCTGCTTTAATGCTATGAAAATGCAATCCAACTTACATTCGGATAATGCATTATCCGAATGTCAGATTCTATAAATTAAGGGAATTAGTCAAATAATTACAATAACCACCCACTCCAAATAACTCTAGTTGGATAAATTATTCCGACACTTCCCTCAAGCTAAGAATTATTTCCCGCCTAGTACCGGCCTTGGAGATGGTCTTGTAATTAATCTCTGAAGTTGATATTTTGTGGCCGAATATGTCGGTTGGTACTTCTGCCTCAGGCCATAGCACCCACTATCTACAAGTAGGCGCGGCATGATTCAAAACACGGGCGTTGGCCATGATAGCGAGTTGTTACGGTAGGATAATATTCATGTTGAGGGCAAGGACAATTACAGACACCGCACGTGAATAGTATCATAAAGAATTTATCTTTTTCTACAAACATCAAGTACAGGAAATCCGTTACATTAACTATGTCCTCTGCAGCTACTGAGTGATCTACTTCCCAATCTCAGCCTAATTAACCGAGTGATGCAAGTGATTTGAGTTGTGAGAAGCGAACCTAGGTTGGATCACGTTATTAACATCATTCCGACTCAGCCTGTCCAAAGTCGTGCTCCATTTCCGTTGCCAGCAGGGAGACTCTCTCTAGTCAAGCAAGTAAATTTGAAAATAATTCCTGATCCCCTGATCTGCATGGTACATCGCAGAATAGTTCAAGTCGTGATTTCGCACATCGTGTACAATCCTTCTGGCCTAGGTTCGGTGGGATGGTTGTTTCTGTAATATATCGACCTCTTTATCATAGCATTCACTTTATTATTTTGATTGGTGACAAGTATGTAAGAATTTGAAAAATAGCCGCCGTGAATTTCCTGTCCTATTAATGATTATAAGATGAGATAAGTCAATTTAAAGGGGTCCATACTCTGCGATAATCTTATAAGCTCGTAAAAATAATTGAGACCATCATAAGCGCCTTGGAAGGCAACCGTTCTATCATCCTCTTGGTCAGACAATCGGCTCTGGTAAACATTAATCATCTTCCAGCCCAAATAATTAACTGGACCAGATAATTCGGATTATTCTGCTTGATTGTATTCATTGTAATAGATTTTGCGACCGTCGCAATTAAATCCTTTCCTTCCCTCCTCTATATGGCCCGTAATGAAGGCAGCGAATGTTGAAACGAAGAAGCTCGCGCTTTGCAAGAAGACGGCGATACTGGTGAGGCGCATGATTATGGATCGGTCAGACTTGATGAAATGTACGGGATGATAGAAGCTGGATTCTCGTCATCTGCTGAGCGATTACTACAGCTCTTACACTTCGAGGCCAACCATCTTTTTGCTATGAAATTTTGCCAATTAATCTGGGCAAATCTTAGATTGAGATGTGTGGAGTTTCCTAAATTTCCCTTACCTCTTATTGCTCTAGATGCTTGAAAAAGTCTTGGCTGTGCCGTAAACACGTCAAAGAAATGGAAGATTCTATGCCTTTGTAGCAATTCATTTCAACAGTGGCCAGGATCCAGTAGCGGTACAGTTGCCGATGACACTATGTTTTACCTTTACGTCCCCACGCCCAATCATACCTCATCCACTGTCCCTGAAATTCTTCTCATTTCTGAAGCGAGCATTTTGCCAAAGGTTCAGAGGCCAAGGTCATGAGTTATCTTTTTGGTGGTTGGGATGAGTTGCACGACTCGTGGTTGGTTCTCCTACTGTTGGCTCCACTCAGGCTGAATGTTGTAACCTCAAGCCGTTAGGCTCGGCAGACAAAAATAGCTGACTAGCCTGGAGAGGCCTGTGCGTCTCATCTAATTCTTTTTTTTTTTCAAATCAAATAATGTGTATTCAGCTATTTAGCTATGACACATGACCGGTGCTTTGTATACATATTGGATGACTCTTTTGACGTTAGAGACACTTATACTCTGGATTTCATTTGCAAATACCACTATGAGGTATGTTCGCTTACACAAAATGTCGACTCTCCTCCGTAAGTACCCACCAAAGAGAATTTCAAAACCTTTGATTATCCAAGCATGCCTTCGTCATCCATGCATACCAACGCCGCGAGAAAAGTGGTTGTATTTTGCAGGATTTGAACCGGCGATCTACTGTCTCGAGTGGTATATTTGTCCAAGCTATCCAGACTCTACTTGGCAGACCGGCCAAGATGATGTACCACCGCACCATCCAACCATAGTGATGTTTATAGTGTCGCCTGCACTCTCGCAACAGAAGTCTTGGCACGCACAAAGCTCAATTTGAAAAAGCTCCTCGCCAAAGTTTAAAATTCCACGCCCATCAAGAATGTATCCATCCGTCGCATCATTTTGCTAACTTGTCCTTAATACTCTCAAGCCAATCCCAAAGAAGTATCTCCCAGATTTGTGCGTCAATCTTTGTGTCCTCCGTCGGGTGTAAATATCAGCGCGGGCGTGTATTTTGTGACCGGCTGAGGTCAGAGAAAGTCGACGAGAGGTATGATCATTGGAATAAGGATGTACAAGGTCGTACTTGTAAACTTGATGAGGTCTAGGTAGGAATCGATCTCGTTGGGAGTGAAAATTTGACGTGGTGGAGTAATTTGAATCATTGCCTCGTGGGCCAACTTGTTCGGTATTGCCAAATTTGACCGAACTTGGCTCTGAGAGAATATCTCACTCCCAGGTTCGTATTGGACACCGCGTACAGGTGTTCAGTCCTGCCCTCTTCTCATCTAATTCGTAGAGGTTCGCAACATCCTAGATAGTAATAATAATATATACAATTCAGTACACTCTATTTCCATTCCCTAGCACTAGTGCTTATGTCCTGTCAACACTGATCAGTGGTCTTCAAGCCACAGATTTGCTAGATAGAAGATACAGATCCCGATCACTTTTCCTAAGATTAACGGCTTCTCGCAAGCTTCACAAGGCTTAATTGAAGCTCAGTCCCTCCGCAGAACAGTGAGATTTGTGCTAAAAGTAGAGACAATTGTGAATCATTACGAACCTTAAAGGAATCTAGTAGTGCGTCAGCTACGCAATTAAAAGAACGCCCATCAGAGCTCGGAACTCATACAGAAAAACTCAAACCAATTACGTTTTAATCTTTGAATAACAAAACTGCCTTGTACTGCTGAGCAACTTGTCGGGGAGGGGGACTATTCTCAACACCTGTCAGTGGTGTCCCCTACGAACCTCCAGCTCTCACTGTAGAGTCTGCAGAGCCGAGATTGAGTAACAAAGTCCTCACTTCGAAGAGGATTCCCAATCGCTTTCGCGGTCTGTATCGTCTTCATCTCTCAACACATTCCCCTATCACCATTATCATGAAGCTAACCACAATCAGATCAGATGGTAGGGTCGGAGCTCTACTCATCACCAAAGCTTGATCACGGAGGAAAAGCCATCCGATGAGTTTCCGGAGCGTACCCAGCACCCGATACGGAGATGGCGGATTGGATCAAGTCGGCCTCGACTGTTACAAAGAAGGGAGATGTAGATGAATATGCGCACCACATGTGGTCTCGGTGTCTAGGCCTCGCCTGGCTGGGGCTGCAGGTTTTTTCAGACTTTTTCCCGCGCACGCAGTTTCCATTGCTACCATTTTTCTTTTTTTTTGGGTAGAAGGTTCCGTGGAAAAGGTTGCTGAATTCCACGGGTAAATACTGAGCTGAATGGCTATTCATCAAGGAGAATATATCAATGATCTTTCAAGTAACAAAAGAGGATAGGAGCACTGTACAAGGTGTGGCCTGGGTCAGAGAGGAGCCCAATGTGCTAGATAGTCACAGACTCAAGTAGTACAACAAAACACACACACTTGTCGGGGATTCGAAGATTCCTATCAGACAATCTGTGATGAGACACGTCACAGAGGAACTATATGACACGTCTATAAATGAAAATTCCGACACAACCCATACATCTACATTTATTGCCAAAGCTATCGCATCTTACACTAATAATAAATAGATTGATGAAGACCTATTGGCTACATATCAGGAAGAAGTTGATGGTTTGACTCTAAATAACTTTAGCATTTCCGAGTCAAAAGCTCGGAAGGGCTTAAAGCAAGCACTTCGCAATTATGGAATTTACCTCGGGCCTACAGCAGGACATATCAACAAGTAATTGTTCGCTCTACTGACCGCCAAAACATTGCCAGAGTGGGACGACAATGAGCTTATCAAACAGGTCAACCTAGACCCAAGATTCCAGTTCTTCGAATATTGCAAAAAGTTAATTTTAAATAGAGAAATTGGTACCCAGCAAGGAGTTGACGTCAAGGTTTTTGCCCAAGGCAATGATAACCAAAGCGATCAAAACGATCAAAAAGCCGCAGTTCAAGTCGCAACTAAGAGCACAGCCAGTATAGCAGTACAACAACTGTAGCAGACACTGCAATTTCTGAGGCAACCGTCGATTTAGCAGCAAGGTAATATTAGACAATCATCAATTACATGGCAACCTGGCACCTCAGTACCCCAGTACCCGCTTCCTACCACTGAACCTATCAGTAGAGACTCAATGATTCTACAGGAACCATTCGACTTCTATCGCTCGTTACATATTTAGGGAAAGTGTTACGGGCGAGAGCCGCTAGATTTACAAACCCAAGCAGCTTTCACAAAAATATACAGCTTTGAAGATAGATATACCGGCAATGTGTACAATCTACTAGATGACAAAGTCTTGTTATTCTTAGATATTTGCCTAGCTGCAGATATCAGACCAAACCAGTTCCATGCAGTGTTTCCGCGCATTCTTACTGGTAAAACCTGTGATTTCCAGCTCCACTTTATCCCCAGAACTGACGACTTTGGCCAACAATACCTAAAAGTCATACTGCATTTTGAGCACAAAGTTCACCGTGGCAAGTACTTCACTGACTGGATAACGACAACATTCGAAAAGCTACGTTCTAATTACAGGGATAAAAGCTTACACAATATCCTTGAAATGTTACTTGATAAGTTACAGTTGTGCCAACAGGCGCTTGGTCCACAATACTCAGGTGACAAACAGCTTCACACAGCAGTTATAAACGCATGTCGTGGAGTACCTGAACTCGAATATGCTCTAATGTCACCCCCGAAGAACTGCGAACAGCTTTTTGATCAGTTAAGGTCGTCAGTAGAAGTTAATATATCGCGGTCAATAAATGCTTTGGTCTTGGATTCGAATGAGCCTGACAATGCATACTACGTCGACCGACGTTTCAAAGATAATGGTAGAGGGCGAGGGGGGTGTAGAGGTATTTACCGCACGAGAGGCAACTTTAGAGGATACAGTGATTTGAAAGGCAGTCTTCGAGGTGGAGGATACTCTAGAGATAGTTTTAGAGGAAGAGTTTTATCTAGAGGCCAGTACTAAGGGCATGATAACGGACGTTTTAATCTGAAGAGGTGCTTTGTCTGCAACAAAGAAGGTTGTTAGTCGTCGAACCACTCAATTGATGAGCGCAAACGAGCTAAGCAACAGTACATGAGCGACACAGGCATAGAAGATGACTCCCAATACGCCCAATACCTTGCGGATTATGAAGGAAATGAGCTTGTATTGTCATAGCCAGGTTGTGAGAAGTCTAAGAATTGTCACAATGGGTGTAACAGTCAACTTGGGTGGATGTAGGATAGCACTTTAAGTCTAACGTGAAGAAGACAGATATATATTATAGATCTACTATATTGATGACTATTGAATATATGAGTGGAAAATGTTGATCATATACAGAGGTCTAGCAGCGAGTATTTATACATAAAGACAATACATACAATATACTATCAATAGCAATAGCAATAACTGCCAACCATTTAGCCATTCAACAACTATGTCATTAGATATACCTGCGTCATATTATCATATAATCATGCATGGTTGAGATACTGGTGTTGTCATTGCTATGAGCCGATGACGTATCATTGACGCTGGGTGGCTTGTCCTGTCGGTTACACTTGCCAAATACTAGCCATTCCAAGTTGTGTGATCTATAAATGGGCCTTGTCAAATTGGAGCGTAGGCGTTTGACCTGAAGAGGAATAGAAGGGCGAGAAGAGGTCGGATGGATTGCGAGGGATGACTAAAGATCTACTGGAGATAATTTGGAGAACTAAAGGTTTAAAAATGGGTAATATAAGTGTCTAAAGAGTCTAAAGGTACGAGCAAATACTAGTGGTGACTATGAGTGACCAGAGGTGATCCGAAGGTGGTGGTTGTGACAGAAGACTAAGCGTGAAGAAC